ACACTGGTCAGTAGTCACAAACAGTGATGCCAGGAGATTTTTTTCAGAAATCTCTACGCTTATGAGAAAAAATCCCCCTTTCCCTATATCCTAATTTTATAAGAATTTAATTGTTATTTCTAAAATTTTAATTTTAAAGATTTATTGTTTTGTAAATTATAAGCCGAATTGGCCAAATTATAATGATAAGTTTAAAAATTGGAAAAAATATAATTTTAATTGCTAAAGCTAGCTGCCTACACATTATGAGAAGACGTTAGTTGTTAGATTTTTATTTCGTACTGCCAAAACAGAATAAAATTAAATTGGTATGTATCATGATACAACCAGTAATTGTAATCTAATTGTTATATTATGGTATGTATGATTATCAAAAAAATCAAATAGAAAATATCACATATGAAATGAATAAAACAAACTTCAATTCGAAAAAATTCAAGGAAAAACTTAAATTTACGATTTTCAATTTTCCATCCGCATTTTCAGTAAGTTTTGTTACATTTTGTATCTACTATATAATATTTTCAATTAATTGTATTTGAAAATTGTTAAAAAATATGAAAAATTTTTGTCCTTTTTCCTTCCATCCATGTGAAATTAAAAAAAAATGCACACAAAAAAAGAAAAATCCCTACACTTGGCATCACTGTGACTCACAAAAAAAAAAGATACAGAGTTGATTGTTGGCAGAGTTCTGGGGCGGAAAAATTCCTTATTTAAGGCGTTGTTGGTTGTTATGGTGCCGGCTAGAAAGAAGTTACAGGGTGGTTACAGTTTTCTGGGTAACACAGTAACTCCCCATTGGTAATACAGTTTATTTGTAAACTCACCACTGGTAAGGCAGTTTACTGATACAACAGTACTTTTATTATGTAGAGTTTTTGGGTCGATAATGCAGTTTCATTCCGAATAACGGATTTGTGGTGAGTTTCCGAATCTCACCATAGTAAGTGTGGCGGGTTTCCGAAAATCGCCATAGTAAGTGTGGTGAGTTTCCGAAACTCACCATGGTAAGTGTGGTGAGTTTCAGTAAGTGAGGTGAAATCCACCACACCATTTTTAAGAGAACAAGCAAGAAACAAAAAAATAAATTAAATAGAAAAAAAAATGGAGAGGAGGGAGAGAGAGACGGGCAGACCCGCCCCCGGCCGGCCCCATTTTTTCCAAAAATTAAAAAAGACAGACACACAAAACCTATTCGGTCGGTCTCCCTCTTTTTTTATTCGGTCGTACACAAAAGTGACCCAAAGTTGGAAAAACCCGACGACCGAACCTCATCGTTATATGCTAAAAAAAATACAACCGTTTAGGAATTACAAACACTACTCTCTCCTCCACCCCCACCACCCACACACATACCAAAAACATTTTCCCACCACACACATGTGGTACAAATAATATTATTACTACTACACCTTCTCTCTGCCTACTACGTTAACATTAAAAGAGAAAAAATAAATTAGGAGTTAACAGGAGCCATCCTCCACCTGTTCTGTTAGTTAACAGAGCGAACACTTACCATGTTAAGAAAATTTAGGGTTACCAGAGACAAAAACGATTTTTTCCCAGTTTTCTTCCAAAAACTAAAAAAAATTCCCAATCCTGAAAAAAATAATAAAAAACGCAAAAAAATCGTGAAAATTAAAAAAAATCGCAAAATTTTAAAATAAAAAACGAATTAAAAAAAGATTAATTTAAAAAAATTCTTACTCCGAAAAAATCTATAAAATTTAGGAAAATTGAACTCCTTCCTTAACGACTTAAAAATCGCGCGATTTATTCAAAAAATTATTATTATTATATTTTAATTGTTGGGGTTCGTTCGTTCTCTCCATCCATAATTAATATAAAGTATAATCGAATGAAAAAAAGTTGTTTAGCGCAATCATATTTTATACCCCACCCCACCATCAAAAAAGATTGAAATATTCTTCTAAGACCCATAAAAAAGTATATATATTCGGGTCCCTTATTTAGATTCTAGGGTGATCGACTCGATTTTTCAACCGGTGTTAAAACCGGTTTTTTCTGCTTTACCAGTGTCGGTTTTTTCTTAATGCTGATTTTTCGAATATCGAATAACCCGGTTTTTTCACTTTTTAAAAACCGGTTTCGAATACTTTTATTTGCTTTGTATTCAAAGATTATTTAAATGAAATTTTTAAGTAAATCATAATAGAGCCCTCTAAATTTTAAAAATATTCGAGTTGAGGAACTATCGTATATTTTTCTAAAGCTCCTTTGGTTAAACTTTTTTGATTTTCCTAATTAATTAAAAAAAATTATTTGTAAAATTGATAACTGTTTTATAAAATTTTATCAATTTTAAGATTATATTCCAATTACAATAATTCATTTACGGCTGAAATTTTATGGAAGTGTTGGAATGCCTATGCCTCCGGTAGGTTAGTGTTCTAGTCTGGTAGACCGGAGGTGGTGGGTTCGATTCCCACCTGAGGCACTGGTTAAGGAGCGCACAACAGGCCCGATAGAGGCCTAGGTGTATTTCTTCGGATTTGATGTATATACATCCTCCTTTCAAACTAACTAACTAACTATGCAAATTTTCTAAACTGGGCTTTTATAATAAGCTAGGACTTTTTTCCTATTTTTTTTTTATATTAAAGAAATAAATATAAATCAGACGACTAGATCTAAAGTTATAATCTTTTAAACTGTTAAAAATCATTTCAGGCCATGTTTTATTAATCAAATTTAAACATAAACATTAATTTTTTCAAATTAAAATATATTTTTTTATTTATAATGAAAAACCGGTTAACCGGTTTTTTCTGAATTTGAAAAATATCAACCGGTTTTTTTTAAATGTCAACTATTCGAACTATTCGAAAACCGGTTTTTGGAAAATGTCGAATAATCGATCACCCTATTAGATTCTAAGACGATCTAGCCATGTCCGTCCGTCTATCTGTCTGTTTAAAACACGATAGAGTCCAAATGGAAGTAGCTAGCGAGCTGACTCTTCTAGTTGATGCAGTTTGTTTGATATTGGAAATGGGCAATATCGGTCCACGATTTCGCCTAGCCCTTCAGAAAATGACTTACTTATCGCCCATCATAACTGGCTAAGAAGAAGAGAAGCATCAATAGCGGTGAAATTCGGCACAAACATTTTTATGGGAACCTAAAATATATATCTCTTCGTAAAATTTTAAAATTGACCCCTCCCATATTAATTAGGTCTACTTCAGAAAATGACTTTAATGCTCATCAAGCTAAGAAAAGCATCAATAGAGGTGAAATTCGGCACAAAGATGTTTTATGGGAACATAAATCTATCTCTTCGTAGAATTTTATAAGGATCGGTCCATAATTGGACCTACCCCCCATATAAAGTCCCCTTCAGAAAATGACTTTAATTAATAAAGTCTTATTACTGACTCAAAAATGTGAGTACAGCAGTAAAATTCTACATAAACAAGTTTTGTGCGAGCCAAAAAGCTCTTATCAAATTTTATAAGGATCGATCCTTAATTAACCCTATCCCCCTTGTAAGAGGTCCCCTTCCGTAAAGCTCATTACTGAAATGATGAAATTCGACATAAACAATTTTCGTATTAGCTAAAAAATCTCCCACTAAATTTTATGAGGATCAGTCTGTAATTGACCCTCTACTCCCCTATAAGGTCCCCTTCAGAAAATGACTTTAACGCTCATTGCTGTCTCAAAAATGCGATTGATTACAGCAGTGAAATTCTTTCTACATAAACAAGTTTTGTCTTGCCAAAAACTCTTTATCAAATTTTATGGGGATCGGCCTATAACTGACCCCACTCTCCATATAAGGTCCCCCTAAGATAGTGACTGTAACGCTCGTTAAAAGCTCATTACTGGCTCAAAAATGCGACATAAACATATTATTTTTGATGAACAAAAATCGTTCTAAATTTTAGAAGTATCGATCCATAATTGACGTATACGGGGCGTATAAGGGGCACCTTTAACGCTCATACTGCATAAAATACGAGTAGATTAATATGCAATTAATTCAACATAAAAAAATGTTATGGGAACTTGAAATTTTCCTCCCGACATATTGATGAAGATGGATCGATAAAAATTACCACTTTAGTAAAATTACGACTTAGGCGATGAAATTCGATCGAATAAAAACCAACTTCTTACGAACATAATTTTATAAACAAAAGTTTATAAAAATCGGTCTATTTGACTCTTCAGAAAATCACTTTAACGCTCATGTATGTATGTATGGCTCAAAAGTCCTTCCAAATTACGATAGTTTTTATAGGAACTGAAATTTTTCAACTGAATTTGATGAGGATCGGGCGATAACTTATCAAACAAATCCCCATTTTCGGTTTTCTTCAGAAAATTACTTTAATGACCCCCATGAATTAAAAATACGAGAATTAGATACAAACCATAAACCGACGAGGATAGATAGGTCCTTAATTGACGACTCTACCCTCCATATAACCCACTCTTACAAAAAAACAGTTTATGGTTATAAATTTGGATCAAACAAAATTAGTATTTTTAATTCGGAAGAGCACGGTCCATGCTTAAGCCTTATTAAAGAAAGGCCCTCTTCCAAATATTTCCCTGATGTTCATATTAATATTGACATATGTTCAACATAGATCGATAATATCAAAGTTTATTATTTAATAAGGATGATTGATGGTGGGGGTATATAAAAGATTCGGCATGGCCGAATATAAATAACAATCTTACTTGTTTTCTAATGTTTCCTTCTCCCCCAAAAAAGTACCAACAGTGAGTGAGTATGTGCTGATTTGTAATAAATAGCGGCCAACAACTACCCATCACTGTGGTGAACTATTGTGTTTGAGAGAGGAAAGAGAGAGAGAGTTGTGTTTGTTTATCTACCTCTCTCTGCTGGCGTTATGTTTTGCAGTCAACGCGAACGCCGGCAAATAAAACAAGCAGAGTAACCACACACACACAACTAAAAAAGACAGTCCAAACAGCGTCCATCATTCAAGTTTCATCAGTCACTCGCTGGTCGTCAGTGCGTACGGTTGTAAATTTTTGCTCGTTGCTACTTACCAGAAGATAAATATTAGATAAAAAAAAGTATCCGGTGTGTTTTCTCTTCCCCTAAAATTTTTTTATCTATTAAAGAGGATTACAACAACAACAGTGTAAAACAAAGCATCAAAAATTCAACCATTTTTAATTAACGGAGAAAAAAAAACAACTTGTTTTAAAAAAAGTGTTAAATAAGAAAAACAAGTGTTTGGTTAAACAAAATATTTATTATTTAAAAAAAGTGATTTCACTGTGGGATTTTGCAATAAAAAATTAAATAAAATTTTGTTGCTTTTTTGATTTTAATTAAATAAGAAAAAAACTTAGACGTAATCAAAAAAAAATTTCTAAAACTCGCTGCTCTCTCTTTTTAGGCTTTTTGTTAACAGTGATTTTTGACTAGCTAACGCTCTCTCTCTTGCTGTAATTTTAACATAGGAGAAGTGTGGTTTTTGTTATTGTTTTATTTTAAATAAATTTTAAAATTGTGTAGTGAAAAACAACAACAACAGTGATAAACATAAAAGATTTTGTGCGGTTTCTTATTGTTATTTCTTTTCTATTATTGATTGAACACCGTTAACTTAAAAAATTAAAAAAAAAAAACACTACAAATACAACACTGTTTCTGACAGAGAAAAGAAAAAACTAAAATAAATACAAAATAACAACAAACACATACTAAATTTTAGTGATTGTGTGTAGATAAAAAAGTGTGCTTCTGCTAAGCTTCTCATAACTATAGCAACTCTCTCTCCACCACCACTAGCAGCACTCTGTTAAATAAAACATTATTGTTGTTGTTATTGTTTGTAACATCTCGTTTTTACATACATACACATACAACAAAACAAACATACGCTCAACAAAATCTTAATAAGAAAAACAGCAACAAAAACATATTGAAAAACAGAAGAAAAAACAAAAATACAATTTGTAAGGTGTGGGGAAATCGATTGATTACGTACCAAAAAAAAATAGAAAAAACCGAAACTAAAAAATTAAAACAATTTTAATAAACCAAACTCCAACATTAATGCAAAATTAAATAATAAAGTGTTTTCTTTTCTGTTTTTAGTGAATTTGTTTTAAAAGAATAAATGAAAATTTGAGAAATAATAATAAAAAAAGTTAAAAGGCAAAAGAAAATAAATTGTTAAAAAAAATTTTAAAATCAAACAGAAAAAGTGAAAAAATTAACTAAACAAAAATTTTATAAAAAATGGAAAAATCAACAGCCTCTTCTTCTACATCCTCTGCCTCATCCAGCTCTAGTAGTAGGAGCTCTGGAGGCTCGACAACAACAACATTAGCAGCAGGCAGTAGTAGTAATAATACAGCAACAGCCTCTAGTGAAGCTAATCATCATCACCAGCAACAACAACTACAACAAGAGCAGCAAATTTTGCAAAAGCCTCATCATCATCAAACTACTTCTTCGACTACTCCAACTAAAAATCAACTTAATAATTCACTAGGGTGTGGTCCATCATCAACATCCACAATAACAACAACAACAACAAAAACAGCAGCAACAACAATAACATCTTTGGATAATAGAGGTGGCTGCAGCAGCAATTTAAACTCCAACCATAATACATTGTCGTCGTCGTCCCTTAACAATACCTTGTTGGGTCATCAATCTTCAATCAACACCACCACCACTTCTACTTCTACTAGTAATGCTGCTACTTTATCAAACTTAGCATCATCATCAGGTTCAGCAGCAGTTACAGCTTCTTCCACCTCTTCGTCATCGTCATCGTCATCCTCACAAATGGCGCCAATTAATCTTAATATTAGCACAACAACTGGTGGCAATTTTAGTGTGTCTGTAGATCCTCAGATTACGGTGGAAAATCTCAAGAAAATTATTGCTAAAAAATTAAAAGTGGCCAAGGATCGTATATGTTTATTGCATCGTGAAAAGTAAGTATGAAAACAAGCAAATTTAAATATAAAAGTGGAAAAGAAAATCTTGCGAAATGAAAAAATTGTAAACAAAAGAAAACAAGTAAGAAAGTATAGTCGGGCGTGGCCGACCATATGATACCCTACACCAGTTATGAATATTAAATGTGATTTATTTTTTATAATAAAGCATTATTTATCTTCAATATTCCCTTGTTCCGATACATTTAAGCAATTTATGGATGAAAAACTAATTTTCTGAAAGAGGCTTTATATGGGGGCTAGGGCAAATATGGACCAAGCCCGATAAAATTTTGTGAATATATTTATATTTACATAATATTTTATTGTGCTGAATTTCATCGCGATATTTGTGTTTATAAGTTAATTTGGGACATTCAAGTAATTTTCTGAAGGGGACTTTGTATGGGAGCTAGGGTCAAATGGGGCCCGATCTTTATGAAATTTGGCAGGGTCATCAAGACTTCTATGAAACTTAGTTGTGCCGTATTTTATGGATATATCTGTATATTTTACATAATTATGAGCTCAGAAGCCCTTTTCGGGGGGTTCTGTTCTATGGGGGCTAGGTGAAATAATGGACCGATTTTAACCATTTTCAATAGGCTTCGTCCTTGGGTCAAATTTGTGCCAAATTTCATCCAATTATCTTGAAAATTGCGACCTGTACCTTGCGCACAAGGTTTACATGGACAGCCAGCCAGCCAGACGGACGGACGGACATAGCTTAATCGACTCAGAAAACGATTCTAAGCCGATTGGTATACTTTAAGGTGGGTCTAGGACGAATATTTTTGTATGTTACAAACATCAGCACAAATCCAATATACCCTCCCCACTAAAGTGGTGTAGGGTATAATTAGTTAGAGTTGCCAAGTAAAAGCAAAAGATAATTGTTATAGGATAACATTATTAACGAATTTTAAGAACACAATTAAAAGTGATGAATGTTAAGAATAATTTTAGATAGTTTTCCCTTGTAGGAGTAAAGATTATTAATTGCCAATGCTTCTACTTTATGTTAACTAGGAAGACTGCTTCTTTATATGAAATAAAGGAAGGTTGATATTATTCAGTTATTTTGAATTGATTTGCGTTCCTTATGTATCATATCCAAAAATATACACTTAGGCGTCTTTCGATCTTGTTTTGCGTTCCTTTTTACGGAAAATACAGCTGGAAAAATCGTGTAATTTAAAAGAAATTGCCGTCCAACCTGCAAACACTAATTCCATTAGAAGTAATTACATAGAATATAGTGTCTGGATTCCAGACTCTGGAATAACATTGCTCCCAAGATATTTGGATCTAGGTTTTCCAGCATTTCGGAATGCTCTACATTCTTCTGAATCCAATTTATATGAACCTGTAAACCTTGGAGTCCGCTAAGAATTCCTACCATTATTTAAGGGAACTTTTCGCCCTCTTGTCGTTGGGGTGACACTATAGGATTTTAGCTGTCTCTAACTATCTTTCCATTATTCTAATTAGTCATATGTGATTCTCTAGCGCATGTTTTGTGTTTGGCTTCTGAAGAGATACCTATCTGATTTGGAAGATTTTCTCTGGAAATTACATTCTCAAGTCGTTTAACGTGACTTCCGAGGTGTCTGATGTGAAATGTAATGTTATGGAACCTATTGGTATGTAACCTATTGCCACAGTTAAAGAAATGCAATGTGTTAAGAGGATTTTAGAGTTTGGCTGGTGTGAGTGCTTAAGAAAGAAGATAAGACAAAGATAAATATTTCGAAATGATGTAGGGCTTCTCCAAACACAGTCTGAAAGATCTTTAGAAGATATAACGACAATAAATCACTCAATTCGTGCCACCTAATGATTTTATGCTGAACACTCAATGATCTGGATTGAAGATAATAAATCTCAGTGATCTTATCACACATCTGCTTACTATTCTTAATTCTGATTCGTTATTCTGATTTGGAAAACTTTATTTTAAAGTAAAATTATAGAGTAAACTTCAACCCATACTTTTTTTTATCTATCCTCTTTTATTGTACAATTTCTTTGAGTTCTTCCCTCTTTTTTTATATTTATTTGCCAGCAGATATTCTAAAGTTTATGTTAATCAACCAAAGCAACCACATGGTTTTTTCTCTGTTAAAAAAAATAAAAATTTCTTATCACAATATAACTGTATTTCTTTTACGCTCCCCGCTCCGTGTCTTGTTGATGGTTGCTTTTCCCTCAAGCTTCTTGTGTAAGCGCTTAGTACAACATATAAAACCAAAAGAAAACATGTTTTTTGTTTAAATACTTTTAATTTTTTTTTTTTCATTTATTTTTGATAAAATACAAAAATAAATACGCGTGGTTTTTTTTGTTCTTCAAGCTACTTGACAAAGTAAAACGCAAAATTATTTCTTTCTTTTTTTTTTCTTATTTTAGTTTATTTAAAATGTTAACCTTGATTTTTTTAAAAACAAAATAATTTTATTTAAGTATATGTGAGCTAGTATGTATGTACTTAAAAATGATTATTATTTTTTTAATTAAATAGCTTTAACTAAAATGTAGTGTCAGAGTGTGTATAAGTAATAATCACCAACATCATTGGCAAGCACCTTCATTCACCTTTAACAATGTTGCTCTAATCAACTGTGCTATTAGCTGAGAGTCTCTTCTCTACTTTTCTCTATTCAATTAGGTATTTGCTGGTGACAAAGAGAATTTGAAAACTGAATACAAATTATTTCTTATCAGGTTTTTAATAAAATAAAATGAAGTTATCATACCTATTTTGGGGAATACTTTTGTTAGCCCTAAATAGGTCAACAAATGATTGTAAACAAATTCAAATACTAAATTTTCCAACCCTGAAAATATCTAGCATTTTTCTGTTTAATACTACCCTATAACCAACCAACGCCATGATGATGTTTTCGAACAGGTTTCCTTATTGTAATTTAAAAACAATGATATTAACTCTTAGCTCTAGCCTGTTTTTTAAGGACTAAAAGTAGAATCTTTTTGTTCATTACTACAAACCTTCTTCAACATCATAAATTACTACGCACGTTAGCTAGTAAACTACACCAGACTGTAAATACAACAATCTTAGGGGTGTGTTTTTATGGTTTTTCCATTTTTTTTTTCATTCCAAAAACCATATAATTGTCGTCGAGTGCTGTTGGCAAAATTTTGTTTCTTTAGTCTACTTTAATATTTATTTTATATTTTTATTCTGTTCATCTAGTATTTCTTTCTTCTACCACTCTTCTTCTTTTTATTTTATTGCTATTGCAGTAATTTCAGAAAAGGATTAAGGGTTCGTTTTCTTTTTACAAACGTCTTACAAATCACCCGTATTGCTTTTTATATTTAAACTAGAATCGGCGTTTCCTTTTTTTATTCTTTCCTACCATATAATGTCAGGAATATGGTGGTTAATTTTTTATATCCGTTTAAAGTGTGTTATTCTTTCTTGTTTGTCCTTATTCTGTATGGAATAAGATCAAAAAGTAAGGTGTTGATTTGTAAGAAAATTCAATAATTTATCGCTTATTAATATCGACAAATATTTAGTGAATGTTTCTAAACGTTCTTAAAAAAAGTCATTCTGAGAATAATGGTTAAGTTGGAGCTATGACTTGGATAAATAAGAATGAAATGAATAAGTTATGACCGGTCATGACAAAAAATCAAACCTGCTTTTTAACAATAACTTTCGAATGAGAACGAAGAGGTTGCGCTCGACAAATTTATCCAACTCTGTCCTGATTCTTATGAGTTGATCTCTCAAATGTGTATATTCACAATATAGATTTGTTTAATATCGCTCCCGATTGGTCCGATTCTTTACCGTAGTTCTTCTTCTATTTGCTAACACGGAGTGGCCAGTTTTTGAAATCACATAAGATGACTGTAGCGGCCATATTTGAAATTTCTTAAACAGTATCAGCCCATTTCGATCCTAAGGATCCTAAGTGGTCGTATTTTCAGTCAAAACAACTAGTATCCCTGGTGAATCAACAAGATTTCTATCAACCACATAATATTGTCCTGTGTGATCGTTCAAGATCGTTCTTCAGAACCTAAGTGAATTACAACTACCGTAAATATATCGAAAATGCTTTACAGAAGCATGTTTCCTGATCCTGGATTCTTCTTAAGTTAAAGTTTCGATCAAGGCTGGACATTGGAAGACATTTCTTCTTTTCCCTCAATAAGAACAATTTAGTCATGATCGTTGAATGGTTTTCTCATATCATGAATAATCTCACAAAATATTCGGGAATAGTTGCATAGTATACACATCATGGTGCCCTAAAAATTGATTAATTTCGTCTTCAAAATGCTATTTTGGGACCATATTGTCTCAAAAGCTTTTTTGAAAAAAAGCTCATTTGAAGCTGATGCTTAAAGTTAATAAATCGTCTCTATAATAAAAATCTGATTTGATGACAGATGATACATAAGTATATGGATGTCAATAAAAGACAACATAAGATAATGTACTCTTCTCTCCTCCTTGATGTCAAAAGCTTCCCTTGATAACACAACTTGTTTTAGATTCTTTGAACTGTAGTCTCATAGCAAGCATTCGAATGCTGCCATGTTCTGTAATAGCTGATACATGAAGTCAAATCTACTCTCCAACGAATCCTATGAGTTATTCAGCAGATTTACAGCACCAAATAATAGCACATAATTTCCAACACAAATGGTGGAATTCAAGCTTCTCTTTCTCTCACTTCCGATCAATTCGTTAAGCTGGAAGTCCACACCACACGTTCTACACTTTTCTGCATTCTACGCGTTGCATGTAACTTGATGCATTGGATGCGAAGATGGTATGAAGAGCTCACAATGCTTTGACGCGAAAAGGCGTAGTGTGAACTTCGAGCTTTAGTCATTCAGTTATAATGGCAGCGGGCTTGACTATCCAGGATCTTGATCAAGTATAGATGTCAAGAGTTGACGTTGATAACACAACTGGTTTTGGATTCTTTGAACTGTAGTCTCATAGCAAGCAT